AAAATTCTAAATTTCCGGTAAAAATTTTTCAAACCGGTTTCTTAACCGGAAAAATTGAAAACCAATCTTTAACCCTGTTTCTAAGTGACACTTTTTCGATTTTACAATACTCTTCACATATAAATTGTCGATCGTCTCTATTAAATGCGTGTGACCAATCTATTCAATGATAGGATTTTTATCTATGCTTCTCGAAACCCGGTTTTCCTAGAATGTCCCTCATATAGTGATCAGCGGGGGGAAATTAACGAAAAAAATACTAATCAGTAACCTTTTATAAAAAAAGGTTACTATACTTTTGCCTTGTAGGATAAAATTATTTTGTGTATATGAATAAAATAAACCTCAGAGAACATATTTATGCATTTTTTATTGACTTTAATTACGTAAAAAAAAAAATTTTTCTCTTTATGATGTGTCGATTTTCGGAGTTTTGTTAACACTGAACATTTTCCGTGTCACGATCTCCTTCCAAAACCAGCAAGTCGTGCGACCTCCGTGCAGGCCTTTTGCCGATTGCCTGTTTTTTCGGTTTTTGGCGCGATCAACGTTTTCACCATATTTAGCAAAAATTGTGTCGTACGGCAAATAAAAAAGATTGCAACCTAATTTTTTGGGAAAGAACTTTTTGCTTTCCCTGGGTGGTAAATTTTTAAATTCTTTGATCAATTTTATTGTGCAATAATGATTTTTTTCCAACCAAAGAGAACTGTTTGGTAAGAATAAAAATTGTTTATTTTACTTTAAGAAGAGCTATTTAATTTCAACTATTGAATTCATTATTGTTTTTTGCTATTTATTTATTTTATCATATATATGCTACTAAGAATAACTTTTTGGTGGTGGCAAAGCATCATTCTTTTTTTGTTTAATATTTAGTTAGTGTGATGAAGATCATACCATTGATTTGTTTATTTTATTTTATAAGAAAAGCATCATTCTATTATATATTAAAACCATTTTTACTATTGTTATCATTTGTCCTGTTTTTGGATTGTACCATTGATTTGTTTACTTTTAAGAAAAGTGTTATGTGCTTAGTTTGTTAATTGACAATTGAATTAATTGTCTATTACTAAAAATGCTAAAAAACATTTTACAATTTATACATTCATTTTGCAAAGCTGGATTGCAAGCCTTGTAAATCTTGACTTTTAACACTTACTTTGATCAAACCCGCCTATATAATTATTGAATAATTGATAAAACATTCATTTTGCAAACTCGATTTGTAAGCTCATAGACCTTGACTTTAACACTTACTTCGATCAAATCCGCCTATATGATTATTGAATAATTGATAAACATTCGTTTTGTCTAACCACTTACTTCGATCAAACCCGCCTATATGATTATTTAATAATTGATAAAATGTTCATTAAATATATTTTACAAACGGCTTCACAGATCTCGACTTTAACACTTATCTCGATCAAACCCGCCTATATGATTGTTGAATAATAAAACGTTCATTTTGGGAAACTTGATTTGCAAATAGATCTTATTTCGATCAAGCCCGCCTATATTTGAATAATTGATAAAACGTTCATTTGCAAAACTTGATTTGCAAACTTCTTAGATCTTGTATTTAACACTTACTTTAATTGCGCCTATACAAACTATTGAATAATTGACAAACGTTCATCATTATATTTTACAAACTTCTTTGGAAGTTTCGTACATCGTCATGCATCTTGTATTTAACGGTTACTTCCACAAACTCACTAACTATACTTTTTCTATTGAATTTTTATTTTTTTAGATTACACTATAAAAAATTATGGAATAGAATTTGTCCAATTAAATGTTGTAAACTATATATACCCCATACACAGCTTGAATATAAGGCTCATTTTCCATTACTAGTATTCGTCTCGGGGTAAGACATGTAATGGCGAACCATGTGACTCAAATGTGTTATTAAAGTACAGCAAGTGAGAGAATGGAACTCTTGCTGGTAGCTCATGTTGAGTGTATTGAACAACAACGAATCATCATTTTTTGAAGATGATAATAAAGATTAAGATCTTTGTTTCATGAAAATATTCAAGTTTTTCAAAAAAAAAATGTGGGGACGGCTGTCCTGTTTATATGTTTTGGATTTAATAAAATAGACTACTGACTTGGCCCGAGTGATGACATTTTTTTGCTCTTTGCGATGAAGAAGATGCAATCCCAAACACAACTTAAAATAAATGAATTTTTGTTCTCGCGTAGAATGGTGTGTGTGATTTATAACACGAAAAGCAAAAGTTCTCATTGCATTCTCAATTGCGAGCTTTTTCGTTACACACTGTATATACTACTTGGATCATTAAACATACATTCTTCATTTTACTAAAGTTGGACTTCATACCACTTCATACCCTAGCATTCATTTCCCAATTTTTTTTTTTTTTTTTTTACGAAAATATACTTGCATTACCCAAAATTTTGTATGACCTCCTTCCCTCTATGATTAATTGTTCGGGGTCCTCATGCATGTAAATAAATAAATATATGAACAAATAAATATATTGTTGTGGAATTTGTCGAGCTTCTACTTTGGTGAAGCCTTGGCATCAATGTTCTTATAATCACAATTACGTGAGACAACGTTCAAATGATGAATCAGCTGGTAAAAATTTCATGGCTTATTCAAAAAGACCAGTCGAAAATATTTCAAATAGTCATCATTATCATTTGATTGGTGTTCTTATTCATCCTTTTTTAAGTTGGAATGGTGATAAAAGTTTATGAATTAAATTAAAATTAACAAAATTTTATTATGAAAAATTATTTTTTTAAAAAATTTCGTATTTGTGAATAAATTAACAAACCAAAAAAAAAAAAAAAGATATTATTCAATTTTACTCTAAAAATTATTCAATATTTGATTTATGATGGATATTTTGATTTTGATGATTTTATTTCATTTAATAAAAGTTGAATTTGATTTTCGATTTTCTTAAGGTCATTCTTAAGTTCACTTTTAATTTCCTTAAGCTCATTCTTAAGCTCACTTTCAATTTCCTTCTTAAGATCATCATCATTCTTGAGGTCATTTTCAGGTTTAGGCATATCCACAAGTTTTCTAAGTTCATCAGAAATATAAGGTAAATACTCAGGATCTTCTTCACTATTATCTACCTCTCTTATTTTTTTTCGAATATCTTCAACTGGTACATAATAAGTTCTAACAAAAATAAATAAATTAATAAAATAGTTATGTTAGAATTAATTGAATAAAAAAAAGATATTTGACAAAAATTAATTGGCCTTTATAATTTTTACATGAAATATAGATGCAGTTGTTGATGTTTATTAAATAGTAATTCAACACTTGTTATGACCTAAAATTAATGACAATTCAATATTAATTCATAGAAGAAAAAGTAGAATTATACTATTAATGAATAAACATACTTTAGCTTTTTGAGTATAAAAGGCTTCTTCTGTGTCATGATTTTGTATTTCATTACTAAGCAAACCAATGAATAAATTCATTAGGTATACAACAATTAAAAATGAAAATAATA